CCCGGCGTCATGCCAGTGCTGCTCGAGAGGTTTGCAGCCACAGCTCTGCAGGCAACACTCACCACGTCTGGTGTGAGGGGGCCACGCTTTGCCAGGGACTCCTCGGGACAGCGGTGCTCTCCCTACGGAGTGAGTGTGCGGAGTCTGCCTCCCTGCAGCTACTGATAATGGCTGGAAAAGTTTTCCAAGAGTCCTTCTGCCACTGGCTTCACTCAGATCTGGCGAACAATGCAGCTCCCGGCAGAGCACGGCCAAACCTGCAAACCCGTACCGGCACCGGGACACGGGCACCGGGGGCCTTCGGGCAGCGTCCAGCTGCCGCTGCCTCCTCAGCACTGCCTGGTGCTGCCTGCAGATAACAACTGCTCCTCTGACTGAGGAATCGATGCTCTTTAAAATATTAATGCCCAGTTAATGTGATGCTCTAAGAGCCCCAGCTGACACGGGGTGGCTGCGGCACACCGCATGAACACATGTCATCGCTCTGCAGTTAAAGTGCACCGACGCACCCTCAAGCGAAACGTGCCAAAGCAGCGTGGGACAGGGCAGGGACTGTGGGGCATGGGGGCCACGGGGTGCAGGGCAGCCCCCCGGCTCCGCACCCAGGGGTCCCAGGCAGCTCCCCCAGGCACACGCAGGCACTCAGAGACACGCTGGCCAGCAGGGCTGACAAGGCATGAGCATGAAGGATTTAAATTCTTAATTGAAACCCATGAATTTCGTTACAAGTGATAAAACTGACATGAAGAGCCCCGAGGCTGCCAGGGCTGCCTCCAGTCACCCACTGCCTCCCCACCAGATCGTGGAGGCGTGAGGAGCGGTGCTGGACGGCCGCTGTGTGGTTCCCTGGCTAAACACATTTCATTTTTAGCTGAGAAAGAAGCTAAGATGTAGAGCCCGCATTCATACATGAGGAAGGAAAAGGGAGCCCAGAAAAAGGAGTAGGGTTGCTGTTTGTGTTATTAACCCCACGTGCAGCAGGAAGCTGGCTGGCTTTGGATTGGATCCCTATCCAGCCCTCGGAGCAGGCTGCAAACCCCACCAGCGAGGCCAGGTGCTGGCCCAAGCCGTGGCCGTGCACCGCAGCCGGGGAGATCCACCTCTGCGGAGGTTTTGCAGCCATCCTGTCAGCGTTTGGCTGTGGGGGAACTTTGACAATAAAATTTGGAAGTGCAGCTTACCATGGTGGAGAAGATGGTCTCCATCTTATCTTCTTGCGGCCGTCTGAAGCCAGTTATTTTGCAAGCCAGGCTGCTGTTCACAAGGACTTTGTGGGCAGCAAGGCTTTTATGTATGTAACCCATCTCTGCCAGGTACTTCATGCCAGAAGCAATTCCCTGCAACATGCAAACGAGCTGGGTGGCCGTGAATTGTCCCTCGTGTTTCTGTGAAAAAAGAGGAGGAAAAGCCAGAGGTGAGCAGTGCCTCGTTTGAGGGGGCACCGCCAGCAGAGCCCAAGCCGGGGGCAGCCCCGCTTTGTCACCACGGGCTCCCAGCACTCACCCTGAGAAAGGAGTCCAGCACTCCGTTCCCCATGTACTCCATCACTATCATCATGGTGCTCCCTGTGGGGACAGAGGAGCTGCGTGAGCCCTGCCTGCTGCCTGGGAAGCGCTGGCACTGCGGGCGCTAGCGCCCAGCGTGGTCAGCCCACACCCCCGGCTAGGAAGGGAGGTGAGGGCTTCACCTCAGGCAGTTTGCAACGAGCAGTGGGTCCCAGGCTTTCTCGTGATTCCCAGCTGGGAGCCCAGTGGACCCCAATATCAGACACTCCTTTTATCAGGATGCTGAACTACATCCCAAAGGAGGACAGCACTATTCAGAGAAAGCAAAAGCAACCAGCTCAGCCCAAGGCTCAGGACAGAAATACTCTCTTACCTAACACAAAGGCCAGTTCAAATCAGCACACGTGCTCACATTTCTTTGGCTTTACACAGACACCCATTTAACTACTGCATCCGCAGACGAGTTCAGCACACGTGCTCCCACAAGAGCCAGGAGCAGTCAGAGTCATCTGTTTTGCTGACAGAACCTCACTTCGATTTGCTTTTATTAAGAGTGCGCAGTTTTGCTGCTAAGCCAGTCCAGCTACCTGGATTTATTAATCTAGCTGTAAGCATTTTATTAATCATCAGAATGCTAAAACAGCTATCGCGCGAGGAAACAGCTAATTCCCAGAGAGCAGCAGCATTGCACCTCCGGCACCAGGACATCGCTCCAAAGCAGCAGCCTATGTGCGGAGCCCTCCCGCGTCGCGTGTGCCGGGACCCCCTTACCCCTGGTGATGACCCCCTTACCCCTGGTGATGACCCCCTCCAGGCGGATGACGTTGGAGTGGTCGAACTGGCCCATGGTGCTGGCCTCTGCCAGGAAGGAGCGCTGCTGCTGCGCCGAGCACCCTGCTCGCAGGGTCTGGATGGCCACCGGCAGCTCCCGCTTGCTGGGCAGCTTCAGGCACCCCCGGCAGATTTCTCCAAACTCTCCTGCGCAGCAGAGAGAGGAGTTAAACAGCATTTTTGGGACGTCCCACACAGCCTCCCTCCAGGGGACACTGCCTTTGCTTTGGGACCACAGAGGTTCCTGCAGCGAGGGTGATGTGCCCGGCTGTGCGGACAAGCAGATTTTCCTGTCATTAATGAGAGGATTTGCCAATCCACAAAGTCAGAAACACGGAGCTCTGCGCGGCTGCAAGTTTCCACTGCAGAGTCTGTTTTGCCACCTTCCCCCACCTTTGCTGGGGGAACCCTTCACACAAGTATGAACCCTTCACACAAGTTTAGCATCAGCATGCGACGCTAAAAATGTGCGATAACGCAATGGATTTTCTCCTTCCTCTTCCTACACCTCTAAGCCATCCTCTTCGAGCTCTGCTGGAGGGCACACTGTGCTTTTTTCCCATGCAAAGAAGATTAGCCCCCGAGCACCGCACTCCCGCTCCCTGGGTCTGGCCCGTTCTGCCTCCCAGCCCGACACACACGACACACACGGGGTCTGCGTCTCCCAGAAGGGAGCAGGGAGGGGCAGGAGGGTTTCTGCAGAGCGTCGCTCTGTGCACAACCAGTGAGCTCTGCTGGAGGGCACACTGTGCTTTTTTCCCATGCAAAGAAGATTAGCCCCCGAGCACCGCACTCCCGCTCCCTGGGTCTGGCCCGTTCTGCCTCCCAGCCCGACACACACGACACACACGGGGTCTGCGTCTCCCAGAAGGGAGCAGGGAGGGGCAGGAGGGTTTCTGCAGAGCGTCGCTCTGTGCACAACCACCTGCTTGACAACAGGAGCTACCAAATTCGTAACATAAAAGGCCAATATTGGCTTTACAGCAAAAAACGTGTAGCTATGAAGAGCTTTATAGATTTGAAAGCCAGGTGCTTGTTAGGTCAGCAGTAAGACAAATGCACTCCAAAATTCCTTACATGTAACTGTATTCCTGACTAATTTTTCTTGATTTTTACAAACACCGATGGGCTTTTCAAAAGTACGTGGGATTAGTCTCTGCTGATCCACTCAGCAGATAGAAAGAGAACCTCCTCTTCTCCTCAGTGTCATCTTCCCTTCCACTGTCCTTTAAGCTGGGAGGCAAGCCCATCCCTATTCCCTTCCTCCACCTCTTCTTTTTCTGCAGCTGAATTTATCTTTAGGAAAAGAAATGACAAAGAACAATCATGTTTCCCATGTCCTGGCAAACATTAGCGATTAAGGCTCTAGGGCCCAGTAAGGGGATTTTAATTTGCTTTTAAGTTTTAGGCAGTGAAGTTGATGAAAATCAATAAATCATTAAGTTCACATATTTATAAATAGTTTTCACGCTGCTGTCAAAGTGCCCAGATGCAGATAATTGCTGATGCTTTCTGGCCTGCGCCTCCCTCTCTTGGCCGTACTTAGTGCCTCAGAAAAACAAATGGAAATGTGAAATCAAGCTCCCAAGCAAAATGCTGCCCAGCCCCGCTCCCGGCTCCCCCGCAGCAGGCACGGTCCCGTGGCACGAGCCGGAGCAAAGCTCCGCCGCGCTGACGGAGGAACTCACCTGTCCCGATGATCCTCTCTATTTTAACACTGGCATTATCCAGCTCTTTGGCAAAGAGGTGCACGGCCTGCATGGGGTCTTCGCAAGTGTCGGGGTCGATGTACGTCCTCCTGGTTGGTATTTTAACTGCAGGAAAGCAGGA